TTAAAAAAAAAGCACCTTTAATTTGTGCTGTAGTAAACACTATCAAGTGAACTTTCAATATACCCGTTTCATCTCTAACATATACAATATATACAATATACCAGAGCAGAAAGAACTAATTTCTAAACTGTCACTTTTTGTTCAATTTTACAAAACAAATTTTCCCTCATTTATAAATCTGTAAAAATTGAACTACCTACCTTCAGTGTCAATGTGAGGATCAAATTATAATACTTTCTAACATTACTAATACAACGCACATTTCATTTTGTTCAAAATGTACTTATTTGAGATAAACATATAATTTGTTTTCAATATGAAAAGATCCAAACATCATTAAACTGTACGTAAAACTGTAAATTATTCTTAATGGTCCTTACTGAATAATTCCTTGAAAACATTAATGCAAATGTTATCCAAAATGCTTAAAATCAAACTGTTTAGATTCTCAAGTTTTCTGCATGTTGGAATATATACAGACTACCAATTGGACATTCCTCATCTGAAAATTCAGTATCTGAAACTTTGAGCATTTCTGCATGACACTCAACATGATTTCAGATTTTCAGATTAAGGAGGTTCAATCTGTTATAAAGTTTGTTTAAAAATACATTTTCAAATTTCACCAAATTAAAGCTAGCTGCCAAGCAAGATAAAAATGGCACTAGGGGGTTGGGGCAGTGGCTCAGTGGCAGAGTGCTTGCCTAGCATGTGTGAGACACTGGGTTCAATCCTCAGCACCACATATAAATAAATGAAATAAAGGTCCATTGACAATTAATAAGAAAAAATATTTTTTAAAAATGTCACTAGGTAGCTCTAACCTTCCAAATCTTCCAAAAAACAAGGCTAAAGGCAATTTTCCTTTTAACAAAAAAAAAAAAAAAAAAGAGGCAGAATTTTAAAAAGCCATGTAAATTTACTAAAATCCCAAATTCAGGAATCAGTAAAGGATATCCTTCATAAAGGAAATGTGGCATTTATACACAATGGAATATTACTCTGCACTAAAAAAGAATAAGATCATGGCATTTGCAGGGAAATGGATGGATATTAGAGAAGATTATGCTAAGTGAAGTTAGCCAATCCCCAAAAAACAAATGCCAAATGTTTTCTCTGATATAAGGGGGGTGACTCAAAGTGAGGTAGGGAGGGAGTGCATGGGTGGAAAATTAACTCTAGATAGGGAATAGGGGTGGAAGGGAAAGGGAGGGAGAAGGGGAATAGCAAGGATAGTGAAAGGAGACAATCATCATTATATAAAATTCATGTATGAAGATGTGAATTTTGTGTCAACATACCATATATACAAAGAGATTTGATAAATTATGGTATAAAGGTATATTAAGAATTGTAATGCAAAAAAATTATGAATGTAATGCATTCCAATATTGTCATGTAAGAAATTTTTTTAAAAAAAAAGGATATCCTTCAATTAACTAATTGAGCCAGCTCTCCCAAAAGATATTTCTAACAAATGTTCCAAATATACCTTCTAAGAAGTTTCTCACAATAATTGAGAGGGATAATGGGGGGTGGTATCTAAGAAGCTAAAGTTTGTACAATTATTCCCAAATTTAAAATTACTTGGTAAAATATTTAAAGCTGGACTTTTAAGAATTAAACAAAAGAGTGAACTAGGGAACCTCTCAAGACTTCCTTCTGCCTTCTTTTTGAACCCAATGAAAATAGAGCAACCTGTACTCTGCTTTTTTTTTTTTTTTTGAGGTCTGGGTGACAGATGCATCTTTAAAAATATATCTAAACTATAAAAACAAATCAAATTGATTTTTGTTTCTGGTTACATATAGAACCAAGTACATAAAAAATGTTTCACCAAGAAAATTATCTTCACATAATTAAAGGCAATTATAATAGATCACAAATGCTAAAAAGGATCTCTCTAAACTCTAAATTGCAGTCTTATTTTAACCAAGATTTTTAGTAGTAAAAACAATCATCCTCAATCTCTGCTTTTTTACATTGTATCTTAAAGTCCTTTTATGCCTTATTTCTGAACTGATAATTTTCAAGAAAATCCAAGATATTAAGAAAGATTACTGAAAAAAAAAATATTCTAATGCCAATAAAGCTCAAGCCTAAGGAAAACTAATAAAACATACTTAACCAGTTTCTTATCTGTTTAAATGCAATTTACAAATCATAGCATATAGGCTTTTAAATTAGATATTTTTAATAAAGTCACTGATTAAAAAATCATAAACTGAAAAGAACTGATTAAAAATTCATAAACTGAAAAGAAATTTGAAATAAATAGTTCAACAGTAACTGTTCTTAGTTGTTATACATACCCAAGAGCACAAATAATCCCATCTACTTGCATTTGGGTTTTGACAATGGATTTTAATTTATTCATATACACCTATGTATACACACATGAACACTTATTAACATATATTTAAATTTGTACTTAAAGAATCTAAGGGAATTCACAATGCCTATAATAAAATCATACTTCAGAAAGTTTATTACACTTCCCATATTAGCAATAAAAGAAAAAATATGGGATACATATCTACCTCAAGTCAAACTTTAATTACTAAATATTAAATAAGAATCACCATTTTATATCCTTAAAAAACAGAATTAACATGAAGAATTTACTCTGGCCAGGCACAGTGGTGCATGCCTGTAATTCCAGAGGATCAGGAGGCTGAAGCAGGAGTTCAAAGGCAGCCTCAGCAATGTCAGTGAGACCCTGTCTCTAAATAAAAATACAAAATAGGGCTGGAGATGTGGCTCAGTAGTTGAGTCTCCCAGAGTTTAATCCCTGGTACCAAAAAAAAAAAAAAATTTACTCTGACCTCTGGAATGAACAGGTATTTTGTGGTATTATTCCTTAGTGTCATATAAAGGAATATGGCAACCAGGTATAGTAAAGGTTGGGTAGACAAGAATGAACTAGTATTTGGCTCCAAAGGGAAGATAAGCAATGAAGAAGTAAATTACAAAGTAGGGTCTAACTCAGGAAATGACTAGTTAGAAAAATAAGTAGAAAGTTTCTTACAAATGGAGTGAAAGTAATATCAGCAAAAACACAAATAAGAAGAAAATTAAAAGCTACAAAGTACGTGAAATTCACATGTAGTAAGAAAATGAATATCAAAGTGAAGAAACAAATAGAGAAAAAATAAGCAACTAAACCACTAGCTGTCAAGAGTCAGGGCATTTAAGAACAGGTTTAAGGACCAGGGTCATGTTATCTTGACTTCCCAGAGTATCACACAATTGTTGACACACACCAGATGCCCAATGTTTGTTGCATGAATAGGCAACAGACTGTTTTGGGACTATCACCTGTGAAAGGATTGGGCTTGGTTCACTACAAACTGATGCAAAGCATTTATATAGACATTTCCTAGGGTATCTAAACTGACTTCTTGCTGGATCTGGGGATGGACAGATTAACTGGGTCACTCTAAAATAAGAACTTGAGAATATGTAAGAACTTAAGACTATGCTTTCAAGGAGTTGATGTACCAAATCCTATTCTGTCACAATTGCCAAATTGTACAAAATACAGCACAGTGTAGCAAAACTAGGTAGTACCTTTCTTCCAAGAGCTACCATTTGAAATAAAATCCACTATAGAAGAGTGGCTGATAAACATTATCAAGAGTTCTACATAACAGATATGGAAAATTAACATACAAAACTACAAACATTAAGTTTAATCCTGGCAATATGTAAATCAATGGATGTGTAACTGATGTGATTCTGCAATCTGTGTATGGGGTGAAGGTGGGAGTTCATAACCCACTTGAATCAAAGTGTGGAATATGATATGTCAAGAAATTTGTAATGTTTTGAACAACCAACAATAAAAAATTTAAAAAAAAAAAAAAAAGTTTAATCCTGGCAAAGAACCTGACACTAATAAACCCACCTGCTACTCACTTACAAATGTGGTTTATCCGCCTAAGTAGCACAAAGCTACAGCTATATTCAAGAGAACTATTTTCCTCCCAAACATCCAAATTACTCCATCCCAAAAGAATCTTCTGACCATTAATAATTTCCTCAACTCTGAAATTATGTAGAGGAGGCCAATGTTTCTCACTTGAGTAAAGCTGGTTCTATTCCAAAAGACAAAATTTATAAAGACCAAAAAGATGCAGGATTTTTTAAGTAAGCCTACTAGGAAGCTATTTATTAATAGGGGCAGAAAGCCACAGGGTACTTCACTTTAGTGTCCCTGGAAGTTTTCAATTAAGATTTTAAAATTAACCCATGTATGTTATGTACTTCAGCAATATGAGATCTTACAGTGAAAGAAAACATGGATGTTTTAATTACCTTAATGAAATTAGTTTGTTCCTTTATATATATTTTAAAAATAAAATCTGTTCCTTTAGGAAATTTTGAGCAGTCTGAAAATTTACTTATTCTCAACACTCATCACAAATACTTGAAGTCATAACTGAAGGGTATTAGCACTGAGCAAAGAAATGGCATTAACTCTCAATGAACACTGTACAGAAACTTAACAAGACCCTGGAGAATACAAAAAATAAAATTTTAAATGTTTACAACAAAAAACAAACATAAATTTCTGAATTACAAAACATTTTAAACCTAAGTTTTTAAAATTTATAATTTATCAGTATCATTAGGAAACAGATTTTGAACTCCCTAGGAAATACACTGAAGGAGCAAACAAGGTTCTTAAAAGTGAACTGAAATCTTCACTTGAAAACTTGAAGTTCTTTCCCTGAAAAAAATGTCCTGTATCTCTACCATCATTAACATTTGGTAGACTCTATTCACAAATGCATTCCCTATTTTCAGACACAAGAAACCATGCTCTGTCAGCATCTTATTTCTATAGTAACTTGTTTGTTAAACAACAACAAAAAAAGACAAAACATGAGAACATATAACCCTACAGTAAAATTTCCAAAGTGAGGAAGTAGCTATGTTCACTGTTTTACTTAGATTTGTTAAATATCTGTGAAAGTTTCAACAAGAAAGCTACTCACCACCTTCCCTCTCTCTAACTCTGTGAGTATGCACATTTTTGGCCTTATTGTGACCTGTGCTGTCACTATATTTGTTTTCAGGACTATCAGATCTCCGCAACATTTTATTTGGTGGTGAAGGATCTGCGGCGTCTCGCATCTTTTCATGTCTGTGATCACCACTACTGGGGTGACTCTTCGATGAATACTTAAGTGCCTGTAAAACATCACCCCCCCAAAAAAAGAAAGAATTGAAACTTTAAACAACTCGATTAACTAATTCAATCACAAATTTTAATGTATTTACTTCATTCAGTTTTATGAATTTATACCAATAAAATTAAAAGGTCCATTTTCAATTCTTTCTAATCAAAATCTAAATGCTTAAGAGCTGGTTTGACTCCTGATATCATATTTAAGAAAAAAGAAAGGAATCCCCTCCATTATCACATTAAAAATAAGAAATCAAGTATTTTGGCACACTGATTCCTCAAAAAATTTGAAATATCTGAAATCCCTTTTTGAAAGTTTAATCAGAAGAAAATGGAAAACAGTACCACCATAACCAATTTCTTCTCTATTATTGATTTACAAAGGCACACATATAAAGCAGCTAAGTCTGCAAACCTTTATTTTTAAAGGGCATCACTTTCTCAGACCTTGCTCACCTACTCTTCCAGGTGTGGAAAATAAAATTTGAAGCTATAAAAATATTGTTCAAAATGAATTAATATATGAGCAACATTCTCAAGAAAGCTAACAAAGTTTATTAAAATACCTCAACATAATGGTTCAGTTTTATTCTAAGTATCCTAAAACAATCATGATATACCAGTCTTTTATGATGGGTAATTGTGTTTTGGGGACATATTCAGTAGGATTTAATCTTCGACTTATGCAAATGTAATGGACAATGTTTTAAACAGCAGGGGAACCTAGTGTTTTAAACTGGAGCTTTAACTCATGCCAGAAAACAGAACTATGAGGTTAGGAACCTGTTCTCTTATCAAAATGATTATAGACAAAGTATTCTATTGTCATTTGAGAGTTATCAACCATTTATGAAGCTTCCCTACACATACATACTGGGACCATGTCTACTGTAAAACTTTACATTCAACAACTGACAGTGACAAAAAAAGAAACCTACATGCCTAGAACCATCTACATTAGAACGAACTGCCCAAGTACCCAAAGATTTTAATTCTTACTAAAACAACTGCATCACCTTTCACTTATAAGGCAATTATTTGCACCAAAAACAATTAAAATGAAAAAAGAAATTAGTTTACCACTGATTTGAGAGTTGTAAATCACTTAGCTATTCTTCCCTGGCCTCTTATCTAATTTTAATCTCTTTACATTAACTTTCAATGCAATAAATAAGTATGCCAACGCATAAGTATGCCTCCGAAGTCACCTATCATTGCATCGCATGGATTCTTCACTTAATAATAATAATAAGCAAGTAAGATCTTCCTGGCTGCGAACGATTTTTTCCCCTTAAAAACGGAACTTCCTCCATCACCTGTCAAAATAAGTCACTATACCTTGTTGGTGAGCGCTAATGAAACTCAACTCCAAATTTTAAAGTGGCCCGCGGTGCTAGTTTTCGCATTTGTTGCACCGAAGGGCCTGTAGCGACTTCTGAAGCCTGCGCTCGAGTAGTCCCTCCCTTCCCCCTCCGTCCCCTTCCAATCCCTCCACCCCGGCCTCGGCTGGTACCTGGTAAGGCTGCGAGTCCCCCCTCCGGTCGTGACAGCTGAAAAACAGGAAGAAAGACAGCGACATTAGAGTTTGAGGGGAGGGGAAGGAAGAAAACGGGTCCGCTTACCGCCCCTCCCCGCGGGAGACCTACCAAACGTACCGGCGCGGAGCCCCCACACGCGCACACCGCGTACTCACACGGGACTCCCGGGAGGGCGAAACCCTGCGAACCCGGCCCCTCGGTCCCCTCCACCGCGACTCACTCTTTCCCTGCCCCTCGAGCGGCCGCTCCTCCTCCCCAGCCAGATCCGGATCAGGGTTAACAACAAAAATGGCGGCTCGGCCAGCTCCAGATAAGGAGGAACAGCCCCCCCGCCACCGCCGCCGCCGCCCCCCGCCTCCGCTGCGGCCCGGCCAGAAACGAAAAGACAATTTACCCATCACTGAGTCTCTGCTGTTTCCTCGCATACATTACCATCAATGCCCGGCCTGTGAGTGTGTGTCGGGGAGGGGGGAGAGCGGCCGCGAAAGGCGGGCGGGCGGGCGCGCAGGCGGCGGCGGGCGGGCGGCAGCCCCGGCACCAGGGCCAGGCGCGCCCTGGCGACTCTCAGCACCTCCCCGTTACTGGCGCCGGCGCTCCCGGGCCATCTCCCTCGGTCGACACCACGCTCACTCTCAGCCCGGGCAGCGGCGCCAACTACACGGCGGCAGCGCGAACCGGGGGGAGGGGGGTAAGAAGACGCGTCCGGCTCAGCTCTGTGGAGAGCGACTGCTGCCTCCGCCTTCCTCTCCTTCGGCTCCGCCGCCTCCTCCCCTCCTCCCCCCGCCGCCGCCGCCGCCGCTGCTGCCTGGTCCTTCTCCTCCTCCTCCTCCCGCCGCCGCCGCCGGTGCCGCCGCTGCCGCTCCACCAACTACATCCGGGCAACTAGGACGCTGCGGCCTTCGGCAAACCTCGGCAGTTTCCGCCGCGCCCCTCCTCTTCCACAGTCGGCCTCCCTCCCCACCCCGCGCGGCTCCGGAACGCCGCCTTCGGCAAACCTCGGCTCGCTCCGGCCTTCCTCTTCCTCTGAGGCCTGGCTCGCCTCCTCACGACCCGTCAGGCCTTTCCGGTTGCCGCTTCTTTTCCTCACGCGCAAATCTGGTCGCTGCCGTTCCAGTTTAGGGATAGTCCTGCTCGGCGACCTGCTCGAGGCTGGTCCCAGGGACCCCGGGCTGTGTAGGGTGGGAGCTGCCTTTGGGAGGAGGACCGTGGGGCGCGAGGGACGCCATCGCGGACTAAATAAGGGAGGCTGCGGCGGCTGCGCGTGCGCCCAGAGGCGCAACGGCGGCGCGGGGCGGGGGGCGGGGTGTGCCCTTCGGCGAGCTCTCCGGCCGCCGGCCCCCGCCCCTTCGGGCTCAGACGTGGTGGTCGAAAACCCCCTAATTGGGCGACTGGCGGACGGTTACCACGGAAGCGGCCTCGTGGGCCGCAGCAGAAATCGCCCTCGGGGAAGTGGCAAGCTTGCTCCTGCGCGGTGAGGCGCGGCCCCGGAACCCGGAACCGCGGCGGGGGCGCCTGCAGCTCTCCGGACGCCTAGCATGCGTCGGGCCGGAGTGCGCTCCCCTCGCGGCGCTGAGGAAGCTGAAGGAAAGCGAGATTTCCAGGCAGGAAATGGCGAAGGTGGAGGATTTGAGGGTGCTGTGCCGAACGCGAGAAGGCCGAGTGCCTGGGTGGCTGTTAGGTCTCTAGCGAGCCCTGAATTAAGGAGGGAGCGCCGCTCTGGCCGTGAATCAAAACGGCGGAAAAGACCGCAGACGTTGGGGATGGGTCACTTGAAAACCGATGCCTGACCGTCATTTTCCATCCCCAGCCGAATCCTCCCCACTCTCCCTTTAGTTCTCATTTTTCCCTTATGGTTCCTCCTCTTTACTGAAGTTCTTTGGTAAAAGAACAATCTTTTGGAGATTCAATATGTGAATAAAGGCATGGGATGTGCTGAGTGAAATTGCTACAAATTTAACATTTTGTCCTGCGGTAGACGGGTTGGGAGGCCAAACGTCAAGCGTACCAAACAGTTAATGTGGCGGTATTCCAGTGAGTGGCCTCTGTAAGGGGACGGTGACTTAATGAAGGATTGTAGTCGGTGTAAAACGTAGAAAAGACAAAATAGTACAAATCAGGAAAAAAAAAATTGTCTTCAAAAAACAATTGTCCGAAATTGGTATTTAACAAGTTATATTATTGCTAGGTCTAATGAAGAGCTGGAATGCTGGTGAAGGGTGGGGGAGACCCTGAAATCACTAGTGATTGAAAAATCATAGCTTTATTTGCCACCTCCACCTGCAAACAATTATTACTGGCTTTAAAGACCCACTTAAGCTATAACTAAGAAATTGCCAGTGTCTAAAATGAAGGGGGGTGGGTATGTGTAATTTCTAACAACTTTTTTTGTTTGTTTTTTTGAGACCAGAAATATCAGATTGGAGTGATGGGATGTAGGTCAGTGGTAGAACACATGCATTCCAGAGGCCTAAGGTCCAATCCCCAGCGGAGACACACAGGCCTCATCAAATTAGAAGAGTACAAAAAGGAATCTGTAAGTCCTGTGCAGAAACTATGAAGATAGGCAACAATATTACTTTCATTTAATAACAAGATATCTGTTGAAATAGCCCTATCCCATTTGATCAAAAGCAGCAAACTGGGCAAAGCTATGGGGGTACTTTCCAGACAATGTCCTATTAAGCCTCGTTACATATTTGCAAATTGCCTATTCAATAAAATACAAATCAATGAAAACTAGAATCAGTACATATTTTGTGCATTCATTGCCGTGGGCAAAGAGGTGATATTTAACTTGCCTGATACCTGTGGTCAAAGTTGAGATTAAGGCAACACTGCCTTATTCCAGCTCTCATACTATAAACAGTTGTCATATTTAGGGCCATGTTTTTCGTGTGTGTGTGTGTGTTTAGTTGGTGATTTTGCTCTTTTTTAAAGCCCTCCACCCTCAAAGTAGTGCTTGAATGCTGTTTGGTATTTCTGCACACATGAGGAAGACAATGACAAGCCTTAAGGAAAAAGACACATGTGATAAGTCTCAATTAGGCCCTTTGAGTTCCATGTTAGTGAATCAACTATATTTTAAAATAAGGTCTTTTTATTTTTTAAATTAATTTTTGGTGCCAGGCACTCAACCACTGAACCACATCCCCACCCCTATTTTGTGTTTTATTTTGAGATAGGCTCTCACTGAGTTGCTTATCGCCTCACTGGTGCTGAGGCTAGCTTTGAGCTCACAATCCTCCTGCCTCAGCCTCCAAGTTGCTGGGATTACAGGCATTCACCACCACGCCCAGCTAAACAAGGTATCTTTTAAACACAAAACAAACATTGATTGGACAATGAAAATATAATCAGAAACTTAACCTTGTATTTATCTGATGATTTTATTAAACATAACTACCAAAAATAACAATTTGTATTTAATACAGAGCATATCAAATGTTACACTCATTTTTAAAAACTGTCTAGATAAGTCCTTTGAAAAGTATTCTCAATCTTTTCCTCTCCTCACCTGCCTAAACTACAACCTTAGTTAACTACAGTACTTAAGTACTTAGTTACAGTACTTAGTTAACTTCAGAGCAGTTGAATTTGGCTGGAGAAAAACCACAAAACCATGCTAACTTTGAAATTAGTTTGTGTTCCTTACCCACCTCCTCGATTCTTAACCAGCTGTTTCATATCTTTTAAACCTGCCAATACTTCCTCAGGTCATTATCTTCTTACCTCTGGGAAAAAAAAAAATTTAGAAATCAGTAACTCTTCTCAGCATTGTACCTACCAACCTTTTTGCCTCTGACTTGGGTGCAACACTGTGGCAACTAAATAGACTATACAAGTTGTTCTCAGAGACCAAACTTGTCACTTTTGCATTGAGTTGCATTTTACTCATAGAATTGTCCTCTTCCTTTATATTTTTTTTCTTTCAACTATATCACTTCTATCAATTTACAAACATACCTGCACTAGGTATCATCTGAGGGGAGAAAAAGACCTTTGACCTGTATTGCCCTCCAAATATTAATCCATTGCTCTTTAATCTGATCTCTTTTATAGAAATACTTTATCTTCACTTCTACTACCCCTTCCTGAACCCATACAACTGGACTTTATTCTCACACTCCTGAACCTGCTCAAGATCATCAGTATCCTCCCTGTTCTTAAATCTGATTTTATTACTCAGTCTTCATCTCACTTCACTTGTCTGCATTTGACACAGCTGGTGGCAATATTCCCAAAGTTCCTTATCTTCCTGCCAGAATACTGTCTTGTATCTGTTCCTTCCTAAATGACTATTGATTAGTCTTGCTGGTCCCTCCCCATTTTCCCAGTCCTGGAGTGACTTAGGATTTAAATCTTAAAATGTGTGCTGCTCTGTTCTCTCTTCCTAGGCAATACCATTCACAGACCTGGCTGAATGAAATCCACATCTGAATCTCCAGCCCACACCAGTCCCTTAAGCATTGAATGTTTAGCAGGCATCAAAAACTTAATGTATCCCAAAATCAAATTTTGTGCCCTCTACACCACAAAATAAGTCCTGCCTAGATATTCCTATTCCATTAAATGTCAATCCCATTCCTCTAGGTAAGGCTGAAAATTTTGGAATCATCTTTCACACTTCACATCAACTTCATCAGCAAATCATGCCAGCATTACCTTCAAATATATCCAGAACCTGACCTTTATTTACTATCTCCATCATCTTACACCTGGACCATGCCAAACTCCTCCTAACTGATCTCTCACTTTTCTTGTTTCCACATAGTTTACTCTCACACAACTAAGTGATCCCTTTAAAAGTCAATATTATTCCTATCTTAACTTTGACTAATGGCTTCTCATTAGTGAAAAAAGTCAGTTCTAATGATCCACCAAGGCCCTATGTTATGTTTTGTCTGTTGGTTGTTTCCCACTAGAATGAAAGTTCCATATTAGGTAAATACTTGTTCAATGATGGATATTTGACTACAAAAAGAAAATAGCAAAATAGAATTCTCAAAAAGAAAATACTTGATTCTATTTCTGCTTACATTCTAAAAGCAAGAGTTATAAATCCAGTCCTGTTCTCAAAAAATACGATATGGGAAAGCTGGATCGTTCATAATACAGGCAAAATATTGAAAAACATTAGAAAGTGTACACACATTTGTGTACATAGCAAGTTTTAAGCAGACATTTGCATTGCTATCTTATGAGAGATACCAAGTTTGCAAGTGAATAAAAGACCCACGTTTCCACTAGTAGATTAGCATATATTAACCTGTAGAGGGAAAGAGCTATCAGCTCATAGGTTATAAGTGACCATGGTTTTAATGTGATACTGTTGGTGGAGGAGAATCAAAAAGTGAAGACCTCAAGCCTCTGATTGTGAAAGGGACTTTAAAAAAGCTTTGCTGCAATTTCTAAAAAGTGTCACAAAAAATAAGGATATACCTCCTGAATTTTCACATAGCTCTTTCATTTCTCTCCTTTGTCCTTGCCATCTCTCAAGTTCAGCACAGTATACTAATTAAAAGTATGGGTTACAGAAGCAATTGCACGGCTGGGAGTATAGCTCTGTGGCAGGGCACTTGCCTAGCATGTATGAGACCTTGAGTTCAATCTCCAGAACCAAGGACGAGGATTCGGGGGTTGAATCATTGCACAGTGTAGACCTCTGGCTACATTACCAACTTGTTAGTAGTGTGACTTGAGCAAATTATCAGAGGTTTTGCTTCCTCACCTCTAAACTTGGCTTGATAAGGTTTAGTGCTGTTTGTGAAAGGTAAATGAAATAAAGTAAATAAAGGCACCTGTCACACACATGTTCTACTACTGGTGGTTATTATTCATTCAAGTTTTGTTTTGTTTTGTTTTGAGCTTCTGTGTATCAA